TCAGAGTGGACAGGTAACAGGTGCGGAGCAGCAGAACCTCAGAGTGGACAGGTAACAGGTGTGGAGCAGCAAGGCAACGTAAAACAACGAGATCAAAGGAAAACGTAGAACTAGACCACAAGAAGAAATGAAAAAACCTGAAAGAATTTAAAGTAAAGGTGAAGGTGTAGAATAGGCAGAAGAACTAGCAGGTTTCCCTGGACATCTTTAAAGACAGCTTGATAAATTATCAGAGAGCTGTTAAAGCTGCTTTTTATCTAACATAGTTTCAAACAACAGTCACAGACCTCGGGTTCTTCTCAATGTTTTTCACTCTGTTGTGAATCCTTGTGATGCTGCTCATGTTGCTGAATCTCCTGCACTGTGTGAACAGTTGTCCAAGTCTTTTATAGATAAAATCTGCTCTGAGACCCTCCTCAACACACCTTTACACAGACCCCTCCTCACTTCCTCCATCCGCAGCCTCCTTTGAACAGTTTGAGCCGGTGACTTTAGTTGTTTTAAAGGACATCGTGGACCACGTGCAACCTTCTAATTCACCTCTGGACTGTGTTCCCTCTCGTCTGTTTAAAGAAGTTTTGAACCCTCTTGGTCCATTAGTTCTTGTCCTGATTAACATGTCCCTGTCATCAGGCTGTGTTCCAGCTACTTTTAAACATGCTGTGGTGCAGCCTCTCATAAAGAAGAAAAACCTCGACCCAACACTGCTCTTAAATTACAGAACTAGTTCTAAACTGCCTTTTCTGTCAAATTTTGGAGAAAGTTGTTTTTAATCAACTTAAGAGGTTTTTAACTGCCAACAGCATTGGTGAAAGATTCCAGTCTGGTTTTAAATCAGGCCACAGCACAGAGACAGCCCTTTTAAGAGTTTTTAATGACCTTCTTTTAACTGTTGATGCAGGAAGCTCTGCTGTTTTAGTGCTTTTAGACCTTTCTGCTGCCTTTGATACTGTGGACCACAACATCTTGTTGTCACGACTGGAGCAGGTGGTCGGTATCAAAGGCACAGTTCGATCCTGGTTTAGATCCTACCTGACTGACACGAGTTTTTCTGTTCATTTAGGAAAATGCTCTTCATCTCCAGCTCCTCTGATCTGTGGGGTCCCTCAAGGGTCTATTTTAGGTCCATTGCTTTTTAATCTTTACATGTTGTCTTTGGGGTCCATTTTTAGAAAACACAACATCCCTTTTCACTGCTTTGCTGAAGATACTCAGTTATATCTTCCGATTGAGTCAGACAGGGTCACTTCACTGGATCCACTCTTGAACTGTCTAAATGACATTAAAGTCTGGTTAAAACTAAATTTTCTGAATCTAAATGAAAATAAAACGGAAGTCATCAGCTTTGGTAAATGTAATACCCTTAATGTGCTTGGCCCCTTGGCTTCATACAGCAACTCCAATGTCAGGAATCTGGGAGTTATTTTTGACAGTGCTTTTAAATTAGACAAACAGATAAATACAGTTGTGAAATCCAGTTTCTTCCAGCTAAGACTCATTGCCAAGGTGAAGTCTTGTCTCCCTTTCAGAGACCTTGAAAAGGTGATTCACACTTTTATTACATCTCAGTTGGACTATTGTAATTCATTGTATGTTGGTTTAGACAAATCATCTTTGCATCGTTTACAATGTGTCCAGAACGCAGCAGCTCGTCTTTTAACAGCAACTAAAAACATGAACACATAACCCTGTCCTGGCTTCTCTCCACTGGCTTCCTGTCCACTTCCGAATTGATTTTAAGATTTTATTGCTTGTTTTTAAAGTCTTAAAAGATCTGGCCCCGTCATATTTATGTGATCTCATTAACATTTACACTCCAGTAAGAGCACTCCGGTCTACCAACCAGTTCCTCTTAGATGTCCCCAGATCCAAACTGAAGTCCAGAGGTGATCGGGCTTTTGCGGTTGCTGCTCCAAAACTGTGGAACAGTTTACCTGAGAATTTAAAGAGTACTCAGACTGTTGAGACTTTTAAATCTTTGCTCAAGACTCATCTGTATTCCTTGGCATTTTATCCACGCAGAGTCTGAGAACAAGTTGAGCTGATTTTATTGTTATGTGTGTTGTTTTTACTGTCAACTTATGTTTTTGAGTGGCACTAGATGCATTTTTACTCTTTTTTTTATTTTTAATCTGTCAACTGTAAGGCACTTTGGTCAGCTTTTGTTGTTTTTATGTGCTATATAAATAAATTGACATAGACATTGTAGCAGTACGGGTGGCAGTACTAGTAGCAGTACGGGTGGTAGTAATAAAACAGTAGCAGTACGGGTGGTAGTAATAAAACAGTAGCAGTACGGGTGGTAGTAATAAAACAGTAGCAGTACGGGTGGTAGTAATAAAACAGTAGTAGAACTAGTAGTGGTAACACACTAGACCGTGCTTAGAACAACATACGAGACGCATACAGAGCCGTACCCCACTCCCACCTCAGCCTCTCTGACCTCGTCTCCATTTTTCTGGTCCCCGTCTACCACCCCCAACTGAGATTTTACAGACCCACACAGAAAACCATCACTGTGGCCCAGCAACAGTGACTGTAGTGCAGGACTGCTTTGCACGCACAGATTGGCAGGTGTTCAGGGAGGCCGCTGTAAATGAGAGAGAGAACTGGATCTGGAGGAATGCACATCTGCTGTCCTCGGATACATCAGCAAGTGTGCTGAAGATGTCACCACCACCAGGACTGTGACGTGCTACTCAAACCAGAAACCCTGGCTGAACGCAGAGGTCTGTACTCTGCTGAAAGCCAGGAATATTGTCTTCAGGTCTGGCTATTCCCAGGAACTAGGGAGGGCTAGAGAGCTGACTGCAGGTATTAAAAAAAGAGCCAAAAGCCACATATGCACAAGATCCAGGGACATTTCTCCTCCCAGAAACCATGGAGCATACAGGACATTAAGTGCATCACAGACTATAACATCAGAGGTAAACAATGCCCTAGGGACCCCTCACTGCCTCAACAGGTTCTATGCTCACTGTGAAAATCCAGATACACCACCCAGCACCTAACTCAACTCACCATCTGGAGAGGAGTTCCTCAGCGTGACCTCAGCAGAAGTAAGGAGGACTTTCAGGAGGATTAATCCTTACAAAGCCACTGGCCCAGCACCCAGACAACATCGCGGGGAGGGTGCTGAGGGACTGTGTCGATCAGCTCTGCTAGGTGCTGGCTGATATCTTTAACAGTTCCCACCTGCCTGAAGACCACCACCATCATCCCAGTTCCAAAGAGTTCTACAGTGACTGGTCTGAATGACCATCGGCCAGTAGCCCTCACTCCGATAGTCGCTAAATGCTGCAAAAGACTGGTCATAACCCACATCAGAACAAACATCAACGAGGACCCTCACCAGTACGCATACCCCGAGAATCGATCAACAGAAGACACCATCTCCTCTGTGGTCCACACTGCGCTCAACCACCTGGAGCAGAAGGACTCCTACGTCCGTATGCTCTTTGTGGACTTCACATCTGCCTTGAACACCATGATCCCCAAACCCTGACGGACAAACTACTCACACTAGGACTAAGCACCTCCCATTTGCAACTGGGTAATAGACTTCTTAACCAACAGACCACAGTCAGTGAGGATCCACAACTTCTCCTCCTCCACCATAACCCTCAGCACTGGCTCTCCTCAGGGATGTGTGTTGAGCCCCCTCCTGTTTACTCTGCTCACGTATGATTGTGCAGCTACCCATCCAGACTGTCACATTGTAAAGTTTGCAGATGATAAAGCGGTGGTGGGATGCATCACAAACAATGATGAGTCCAGCTACAGGCAAGAGGTGGAACACCTGGAGAGCTGGTACAGGAAGAACAACCTTCACATCAATGTGAAGAAGGCGAGAGAGATTGTTGTGGATTTCAGAAGTGACAAAGACACCCCCCCCAACCCACCCCCGAACATAAGAACATCTGTGGTGGAAGTGGTCTCCAGCTACAAGTACTTGGGTGTGCACCTGAACAACAACCTCAGCTGGAGCAACACCACCACCAGCCTGATCAAGAAAGCTCATCAGAGACTCTACTTCCTCAGACGGCTGAGACGAGCTGGTCTGGAAGCTCAGTCCTCACCTCCTTCTACAGGTGTGCAGTGGAGAGCATCCTGTGCTCCAGCATCAACGTGTGGCATGGAGGCTGCACAGCTGCAGAAAGAAAAGCTTTGCAGAGAGTGGTGAAGGCTGCACAGAAGATGTTGGAGTCAGTCTCCCCACCATCACAGACATCTACACCTCCAGATGCAGGAAGAGGGCCACCTGCATCATGAAGGACCACACTCACCCAGCACACACACTTTTTGCCCCACTCCCCTCAGGAAGGAGGTTGAGGAGCATTAAGTGTAGAACCACTAGACTGAGGAACAGCTTCTACCCTGAGGCTGTTAGACTCATGAATCTCTAACCAGAAGAATCACTGTGAAAAACCATATCATGTTGCTGCTGATCTGTTTCATGGTGTTGCTGATTATCCATGAGCTGCTGTGTTCAAACCATCTGCTCACAACAGACTCATGTTTATTTATTTATTTATTAATTAACCTTTATTCAACCTTTATTTAAAGGTTGAATAATCAGGCAAATCCCGTTGAGATCACAGATCTCTCTTACAAGGGAGGCCTGAAGGCAGACTAACACACATGTTGTTGGTCTGTGGGAGAAAACTCACGCAGCACAAGAAGAAAATGTAAACCCCACAAGAAAGACCTCAGGTCCAACCGGGGATTAAACCTAGGACCTTCTTTCTGTGAGACAACAGTGCTAACCACTGAGCCATCGTGCTGCCTAATGTTCATGCTGCTGTTCAATATACCTTTTTTATATTATTATTGTTAGTGTATAGCTTAGATCCTTATAAATTGTTTATTTATTTTATAGATATTACTTTTTTGGGTGTAACTGGGACATCGAGTACACAATTTCATTCCACCTAATGTAGCACATGTGATGTGAATGACAAGAACCTTGAACAGTAGTAGTAGTACAAACAGTGGTAGTACTATTAACAAACATAGTGGTAATAGCACTAACAGTAGAACTAGTAGTTGTAACAATAGTAGTAATGCAAAAAGTAGTAGTAGTATTTATTTTTTGCATTTACCCTTTATTTATACAGGTAGTATTGAGTCATAAGAACTCATTTTCAAGAGAGACCTGTTTGGGAGCAGATTGTGGGGGTTAAGGACCTTGATCGGGGCCCAGGGTGCAGCAAATGATGGTGGAGGCAGGTGTGGTTGTTTCACCTTTTCCACCCACATTTTGATGTTGACGGTACTGGGAGTTGAACCTGCGACTTTCTGATCACAGACCCAACTTCTCTAACCTCTGCGCCACCACTCCCCTAGTACTAACAGTAGTTGTAGCAGGATTACTAACAGTAGCAGCTGTAGTACTAACGGTAGTAGTACTACTACTACTGTACTACTAACAGTAATAGTAGTAGTAGAAGTAATAGTACCAACAGTAGTAGTACCAACAGCAGTGGTAGTACAAACAGCAGTGGTAGTACCAACAGTAGTAGTAGTGTGGTCTACCTGCCATTTTGAGCTCTCCTAGTCGGACGATGTGAGGCCAGCTCTGAAACGTCTTGATGAAGAACGGGTTGGTGACTCCAAGAACAACGTTTGGTCTGAAGAAGAACAAAAGAACAAACAGGTGTGTGTGATCCAGGTGTGCGCGCGTGTTGAACAGGTGTGTGTGATCCAGGTGTGCGCGCGTGTTGAACAGGTGTGTGTGATCCAGGTGTGCGCGCGTGTTGAACAGGTGTGTGTGATCCAGGTGTGCGCGCGTGTTGAACAGGTGTGTGATCCAGGTGTGCGCGACCCAGTTCAACACGCGCGTGTTGAACAGGTGTGTGTGATCCAGGTGTGCGTGATCCAGGTGTGCGCGCGTGTTGAACAGGTGTGCGTGATCCAGGTGTGCGCGCGTGTTGAACAGGTGTGTGTGATCCAGGT